TGAGCGACAGACGTTACCAAACATAATAGCTCATAAATAACAGTTGTATGTCACGCCCCCCCCTATTGTTTAACAATGAGTTACTTTTGACCATTAGTAGGGGAACCACGTGGGGTGACACACCTCCCACACCATGGGTGAGTCTGAGAGCAGAGGGCACTGCAGCTCTCAGAAGGAAGACTTCCAGGCCCCCACGGAGCTGGGGGTGCAGGAGACCAGGTCCCAGAGATCCCTCAGGTCATGGCCCCACTTTCTTGCAGGCCACAGGTCTGGGCCTCAAGCTCCTACACCCTCATCCCTGCCTCCTCCTACCAGACTCCTCGTCTATCCTTGCCAGGCCTGCTTAGCAGCTCAGGCAGCCCTCATAAATCAGGGCTCCTTGCCCTTTTATACTCTGGCTCTTGGTGCACACAGCCTTTTGGGCCTGTGGAGCCTGAAATAAATCCTCTCAGGCACCGAGTCCCTGAGAAGCCCTCGCACAGCGCTAGTCAGCACCTAGCAAGACTTCTCTTTGTTCTGCCTGGGGGCCCTGCTGTCCAGGCCCCTCCTCCTGTCCAGCTTCTTCCCTCTGCAGTGTCCCAGCCTCTCCCCTCCTTAGTCACCTGGAGGCCTGTTTGCATGATGTCCCTCTGCAGGGAGCTGCACGCCTCTTCCCAGGCTGTTTCCTGGGGTGATTGTCCAGGGGATTTCTGGCAGCTCCCAAGCCTCTGAGTGTCCCAATTGTCCCCCAGATCTGAGGGTGGGGCAGCTGCCAAGGGCACACCCAGGCTTGCGCTGCCGTGGCGTGGCCACCCTTCCCCTGTGCTCATGTGGGACACTGACACTGTGAGGCTGGTTGAGCAGACATTATTCTGAGATCACAGGAGAGCGGCTCCGAGGTTCAACACCTTGACTTAAATCCCATGGTTATGTTTTCATGGTCCCTTATCTCACGTCTCCAGTGCCTTAGAACATTTGCGATTTTGTCTTTTATTGGTGTGATTACTTGAATTCTATCTGTATTCCCCTCCAAATAGGACAGCTTTGCCCACCACTCTATTCCCAGTGCCTTGTCCACTGGCTGATACACAGATGCTCCATAAACGTTTTTAAGTCATTGGATGAATGCGTGAGTGAGAGGAAGAACATTCATTCATTCATTCATTCATTCAACAATGGATTGAGTGCTGGGCCCTTTGGTGGGTCCTGGGGATTAAAGATGAATAAGATATAACCCCCCACCCTTGAAGAAACCAGTCTTGTGAGGAAGACAGACTTGTAAATAAGAAATTACAACACTGCATAAAAACACCTTAATGGAGGAATGTCCCACGTGCTAGGACAAAACAGGTTCTACGTCCTTCCTGGAGGAGGGGCCTTGCAGGATGCGTGTTGTGGCTGGGCAGAGTGAGGGAAGGGCATTCCTAGCCCGGGGCCTGGGGGGTGGTAACAATGAGTTCCACATCCGAGCCAATTTGAAACCATCATAAGATTTGTTGAACCAACAGCTCAAATATAATCTCTCCATTCTGCTCCCTGCTCTCTCATCTGTAATTCCATCCCACACATCACCGAGCAGGTGGGCCCCAGCTGTCTGCAGACAGTCTTCCTCGGCTTGTCTTTTACTCCCTTCTCTCGGACTAGCGAGGGTTCCTCTGACTTGCAGTTCCCGATACCGTTGCCTTTTCCACTTGTTGTGATGTAAGATATTCAGGTGCTCATGTATACACAAGAGGAAGGAGTCAGGATTCTTGGGGGACAAGGTGGGCTGTGGGTGAAATAGGGTTGTTTGTAAGTTAAGTACCAGAGGGAAAGGTTAGTGCCATCTATTGTGTGAGGAGCAGGAGGGACTCAGGGGCTGGGCTATTGGAGATGTGCCTGCAATGGAGGAGGGCCCCTATCACAATGATAAATGTCACTGAAAGGTGACAAATGTCAGCTCAGTGGAGAGGCCACAGTGCTTCTACAGTTGCAGTAATTTTAAAAGAGGAACCTAGCAATTTGACCTAAAACGGACTTCATGGATTTGCTTTCTATGCCACACACACACACACACACACACACACACACACACACGGACTGCTGGATCCCTCCCCGGCTGTTTTTACATCAATTTTATTCTTACTTGTATCTTTACAGAAAATGGCACAGAAATCACAGGTTTAGAATACCTAGAAGTTATTACAGTTCCATATTTCAAACACCTCAATATCAAGGCTCTTTCTTCTCACTCTATGTACATTATTTACACACCAGGGGCTACAGTCTAACACTTCAAACCAACAGGGGGCAAAGACGAGAACTGGGCGCAAGTTCTGTGAATGGAATGAAGAAGAAATCAACTTGCGATAGGGAATTAAAATCCCAATTCACTGTCTCAGGCCTTTCACGAGGTATTCCCTGCAGAAGTGGTGGGATGGTAAGGAAATGGGATGGGGTGAGGGGGACATGACCTGGCCTGGGGCTGGGGGCACAGCTGCAGAGAGGCCACCAGTACGGGCAGGTCCTCTCAGCAGACGGGAAGAAACCTTTTGCCCCCTGCTCCACGTGCTCACTGTCCGTCGGATTCTAGCGGACATGACCGCCGCACGCACCTGGCATGAAGGTGTGTGCCTATTGCTCAGTTTGTCGTTTGGGTCTAACACTGGCTCCTGCTTTCCTCCTTCGAGCCTTTTCTCATTCCCTTCTTGTGACCAACCCTTGATGACTATGTAGAGCCCCAGGCCCTCTCCAGGCTTGGCCTTCCAAGGACAACCTGGGTGAAACTGGGTCGAGGTCTGTGGCTTCCCAGGTGTTCATTTAGCAGCTGGATTGGGTTGCTCCAAGGCAGGGCACATGCGAACCAGTAATTTGTGAGAAGCTCCAGGGAAAGGGTGCCTTGCACAGCAAGTCAGGGTCACAGGCAGCACATCAGGGGAATCGCTGCTTTAGAGCACAGCCCAAGGGCCCTGGTGGAGGGGGTGGTCCCCCCAGCGGTGCAGGGAGCCACGGCATCGGTGAGAGGTGCCCCTGGCTGCAGGGCACGGGCCCTGGACTCACTACAGGTGCACATCATCTCACGTGGGGCTGGCACTGGTGCTGGGAGGAATGGTGGGGCCGGCTGGGTGTGGAGAGGGCAGGTTCCTCGGGGTGACCACGGCGGGCGGCCGAGGGGCCCAGGCGGAGTCTTCCCTCCCACGTTTAATCTGGACTCTGGGCCCTACTGATGGGGTGGAGCAGAGGTTGTACCTGGGCCTGCAGGGCAGTACATTCACACGGTGGAGGCCCAGGTCCGGGCCCGCGGGAAGGGACAGGCTGCGGGGGGAAGTTACTGGCTGAGGACTGGGGTGCTCAGGACATTGGCCCTGGAGTGCAGGGCCCCGCCCCCTGACAGGGCCGGGCAGGCAATGGGCTGTGGGCCTGGGGGGAGCAGAATCCACGGGGTTAGAGCTGGGCAGAGGGTCTAGAGCAAGAGGACAGTGAGGGGCAGATCCAGACGGTGAGAGTGGCCAGGGATTGA